AGCTTTCATTTTCTTGGTACAAGGAAAAACGCTGCTGCTGCGACTTCTGTGTTCCCGGCTTCAACCTTGAACTGGGGCCCGGTGCCTGAAGATGCAGGGGAGGGCTCAGACCGTGAGCAACTCCAGCTCACTGCAGTGGGTGGAATAGAACATTATCCGGCCTCTGCACCAGTCCTGGACTGCTCACCCTGACTTCTACAAGAAAAAGAAACCCCTTTTTGGTAAGTCATAGTAAGTTGGGGTTTCTGTTACTTAAAAATAGACGTATACCTGCCGGGCGCAGTGGCTCATGCCTGTAGTCCCAGCACTTTGGGAGGCCGAGGCGGGCAAATCACTTGAGGTCGGGAGTTCAAGACCAGCCTGGCCAACATGGAGAAACCCTATCTCTATTAAAAATACAAAATTAGCCAGGCGTGGTCGCACATGCCTGTAATCCCAGCTACTCGGGAGACTGAGGCAGGAGAATCGCTTGAACCCAGGAGGCAGAGGTTTCGGTGAGCCAAGATCACACCACTGCACTCTAGCCTGGGCAGCAAGAGTGAAACTCCATCTCAAAAACAAACAAAAAACAGACCTATACCTAACGGATAGGGAATTTGGTATCTGAAAGCCAGTGGCGCCAGGGAACAGACACTAATGTATGGCGTTGCCTAAGAGGAGGTCCAGTGGTGGGGCGGGGACCCAACTCCTTCAGCCTGGAAAATCAGGGTCCTACTTGGTGGTAAATGATCAGTTTCATGCTCACCTGTTGTGAGACCTAGACACTAAAGCTGTAGCATAAAACAGTGGTTCCCAAACCTTTCTGCACCAGGGGCCAATTTTGTAGAAGACCGTTTTCCACGTACCAGGGTTGAGGGATGGTCTGGGGATGATTCAGGCGCATGACATTTATTGTGCACTTTATTTCTATTATTATTACATTGTAATATGCAATGAAATAATTAAACAACTCACCATCATGTAGAATCAGTGGCAGCCCTGAGCTTGTTTTCCTGCAACTAGGGCCAGCCTCCAGGAGACAGAAGGGGAGGTGGGCAGGTCACCAGGGCCAGCCTCCAGGAGACAGAAGAGGAGGTGGGCAGGTCACCAGGGCCAGCCTCTGGGAGAGGGAAGGTGTTAGGTTGGATGATGTGTGGAGAGAAGGCCTTTGCTGTGGCTGCTCAAGCATGCGACCAAATAGAATAGACCAGGAATTTACAACTGTGTAAGGTAATTACATTGTCCCAGAAACCAAAGGGTGCAGTGGCTCACTCCTGTAATCCCAGCACCTTGGGAGACCAAGGTGGG